CACTGCATACAAAAGTTTTGTTTACACTATTGTTGATATTTTGACTTCCTCCCATGAATCATAAATGTTCTTAATGGTATCTAGAATGATGAGTCCTTTCCAGAAGGTTTTCAATTTACTTTGCTCAGATCTATTGAGGAATCACTATGTACAGCAGCTATGGTGTTACGAAATGTATTTCTTAAATAAAAGACTTGAGAGGTAAAATTACTCCTTGATCTATGGGTTACAGAATGGATGTTAGTAGGCATGAAAACAACATTAATCTTCTTGTATATCATATCAGCTCTTGGGTGACCAGGTGCACTGTCAATGAGCAGTAACATTTTCAAAGAAATATTTCTGAGCTGTAGGACTCAATAGTGGGCTTAAAATATGCAGTAATCCATGATGCTATAAACAAATGTGCTCTCATCAGGCTTTGTTTTTCCATTTGTACAGTACATGCAAAGTAGATTGCACAATTCTTAAGGGTCCTAGGATTTTCAGAATGGTAAATAAACATTGGCTTAAAGTCATTAGCTTCATTTGCCTCTAATAAGAGATTTGGCCTGTCCTGTGAAGCCAGGCATTGACTTCTCCTTTCCAGCTATGAAAGTCCTAGATGGTGTCTTCTAATACAAGGCTGTTTTGTCTGTGTTGAAAATCCATTGTTTAGCGTAGCCACTTTCATCAGTTATCTTAGTGAGATCTTCCGGATAATGTGCAGCTTCTACATCAGTGCTTGCTGTTTCACCTTGCACTTCTATATTACAAAGATGGCCTCTTTCCTTCAACCTCATGAACAAACCTCTGCTAGTGTCATACTCTTCTTCTGCAGCTTCCTCACCTCTCTCAGCCTTCATCGAATTGGACAGTTAGGGCATTGCTCTGGATTAGGTTTTGACTTAAGGGAATGTTACGGCTGCTTTGATCTTCTATCCAGACCATTGAAACTTTCTTCATATCAACAATAAGGCTGTCTAATTTTCTTATCATTAGTGTGTTCACTGGAATAGCACTTTTAATTTCCTTCAAGAAATTTTCCTTTGCATTTACAACTTGGCTAACTGGCACAAGAGGCCTAGCTTTTGGCTTATCTTGGCTTTTGACATACCTTCCTCACTAAGCTTAATCATTTCTAGCTTTTGATTTAAAGTGACAGAAATCCTACTCTTCCTTTCACTTGGACACTCAGAGGTCACTGTAAGGCTATTAACTAGCCTAATTTCAATATTGTTGTGTCTCAGGGAATAGGGAGGCCCAAGGGGACAGAGAGAGATGAGGGAATGAATGGCCAGTCAGTGGAGCAGGAAGAACACACACAACATTTGTTAAGTTTGCTGTCTTATATGGGCACCGTTTGTGGCACCCGAAAACAATTTCAACAGTAACAAAGATCACTGATGACAGATCACTACAACAGATTAATAATAACGAAAAAGTCTGAAATATTGCAAAAATTAAACAAAATATGACACAGAGACATAAAGTGATCACACGCTGTTGGATAAATGGTGCTGACAGACTTGGTTGAAGCAGGCTTGCCCTGAACCTTCAATTTGTAAAAAATGCAACATTTGTGAAGGGCAATAAAGTGAACTGCAGTAAAATGAGGTATGCCTGTAAACTCTAAGACCAGTACTTTGCAAAAAACCTTTTAAATACAAATTTCTGAGTAATGATATAAAAATAAATCCTACTGCATCTGGAACAGATTTATGTAGTAACAGAGATTGGGTTTATTCTTCTGCCTGAAACTAAAAAACGAGACAAAATACATAAAACAAGTATTTTCAGACTCTGGCTATCTTCGGGCTCCACATTTAATTCTAGTTCTCTTGCCACTTCCACCACATCTGCAGTCACTTCCTCCACTGAATCCCTCAAAGACATCCAAGGGGGTTGCAATTAACTTCTTCCAACCCCCTAGAACAGGCAGTTCTAGTCAAATGATCTCTGAAAGATAGGAAACAAACACTAAACCCTACCAATGCCCCACATTGCTCTTCACCGAAAGAGGACAAGGGAGTAGAAACCAAAGTAGAGCTGTTGCTCTTGTTTGAGGAGCTGGAGCTGGGAGTCTGGGGAGGCAAAATAAACTTCAGAGGATCTACAAAGGGTTCTGTTCCAGTCTTGAGCTGAGTACTGGTCAGTGCACAGGTGTGAGGACACCATTTGAGGCTGGGAAAAGAAATATTCAAAGGAAATAGAAGTAATTCCGACAGCTCACACGCGACCAGGAATAGTTCATGTTCTTACTGGCTACAGCGAAGACCTCGTGATTCACAAAGTATCGGTAGAGTACTCAGAATAGAACTGCCTCAGAGGTAGGAAAAAATTAGCCCGCAACCAAATGGCTGCTCTAATCTCATCTAACAAGGCTTAAAAGTAGCCTCAAAAGGGTATAAATGGGTCCTATTTAATTCAAGTCCTACTAATATGCCTGTAAAACTGAAAAAGGAATTTCAAAAACTAACCTATGGTTTCACTAAGGAATATAAGAGCTAGGTACTTTTTTTTTTTTTTTTAATTTGTACAGGCTTAAGATGGTAGAATTTTTGGTGTAAAGACAGTTTTAAAAAGCATATTACTGAGGGAATTTGCCTGGAGAAAAACAGAGGCAAATGGAAGGACTAGGGCTGTCTCGGATTCATGTACATTAAAGGGCCATTCCTCCCTATCAACTATCCTCTGTTTATTTCCGTCACTTGTTATCAGTTGGAGTCAATCTATCTCTGTGAGTCTGTACATCTCTGGATATGCTAATATCCAGTTTCCCTAATTCTGTATTCATTTATCCAACCAATGTATATTGGTATGTATCAGGTACGGTTATAGAAACTAGAGATACAGCAGTAAACAAAACAGAGTTTCTGCATTCATGGAGCTACGTCATTCTAGTAGATTACGGTAAATCAACTGAGGTATTACCTTTAAAGTTCCTACCAAATGCTTGTATCCATTAAAAACATGCAATAGCCAAGGGTAAAATAGGCTATTTTAGAACCAATGAGTTCCCTTTCAAAGGACCTATTTAAGCATAAAGGACCTATTAAGCATAAAGAATATCTAACAGAGTGGAACAGTTGGATAAGCTCACTATAAAGAGTCCTGCAGATTCGGAATTGTCTGATTAAATTAGAGAATCCTAAGAACTGAATAACAAAGCAAGCATTAATAGTCTTTGCTATAACATAATTATATAAATAATGTGAAAACAGAGAAACACAAAAATGTACAATACATAGTAATGTTTTCCAATGTACTTACCTTCTAAATTGTTGATATGTTTTGAATCTGTGGTCCATGATTTCTCCCAATAATTTAATAAACTTCTTTAAAGTCCTTACTTTATTATCTAGATCAAGATAGGTCTCTCTTGCTTCTTGGTACTGCCTATTATATAAACAAAATATTACGTAAGAAATATGCCACACGTAAAAAACGTAAGAGTAGAATCTGAAACAGATTTAACTGGGAAGAATAGGGAGGGGCAGAGAGTACTAAGGGGACCTAGCAGCAGTCAATTTCATAAATTTCCAGTGAAATTACACTCCCAGAATGAAAGGGTGGTACGGAATGAGAGAGTACTACCCGGACAGGGAAGGAACAAGGTCCAAGCCCTACAGGAGGCAGAGACAGTGTGTGAACAAGTACCCTGGTGGGGCCTAGAGGCAGCAGATCTTAGAGAATGCCAGCAAATACACACCTTCAAAAAGGGAAGGGGTCACACTGGAAGAAAGGTTTCCTTCAGTAACAGATGCCAATAAAAGAAAAAAAGAACTCAAGCCAGCATTAGAATCCACCCTCCCCTCTCCTAAACAAGGTAAGATCAAAGAGGCAGAGATGGCATGGCTACTCAAAGTGCTATTACAAAAGGCAACAGCCTATTACTGTGGCAAGCCTATAATTGAATTAGCATGAAGGGCAATGCTGGTCGAGGCTCCCACAGCTACCCTTCCCATTCTCCTTCAAATAACTGGTCCAGTAAAATTCAACTAATTAAAAAAATAAGTAACAAAAAATGCTGGCACAGCATCCAGATATTTATGGGGAAAATATGAAGAACAGCAAAACTCTCCTACAGACAAAGAAAACGTATTAGAACAGTGTTGCCACAAAGCAGATGAAAATTATAATTGAACATCATAAATTAAAACGAAAGAGGCCAGGTATATTGGCTCATGCCTATAATCCCAGCACTTTGGGAGGCCAAGGTGAGAGGATTGTTTGAGCCCAGGAATTAGAGACCAGCTTGGACAATATAGCGAGACTCTATCTCTACAAATAATAAAATAAAAATTAGCCAGGTGTGGGGGCATGTGCCTGTGGTCTCAGCTACTCAGGAGGGTGAGGCACAGGATCACCTGAACCCAGAAGTTCAAGGCTGCAGTGAGCCATGATTGTACCACTGCACTTCAGCCTGGGTGACAGAGCAAGAGCCTGTCTAAAAGAACAAAAACAAACAAACACACACAAACATCAGACAAGTGCTCCCAGGAAGGAATACCTCAAAGCAGACAAAAGAACTGAAAGAACAGATAAACAAAAGGAGGTAATAATCAGACAGGAGGAGTAGGTAAAGCAAGAGAATCCACAGACAGGAAGGTAGGAGGGCTAGAACCTCCTCCTAAAAAGAACACACACAGATATGAAGACAAAATGAGAAGACGCATAGGAGAAAAGAGAAACGTGGAAAACACATAGATGGGAAAAAAACATAAATGAGAAAATCAAGCAAAATGAAAAAAACAGACAAAAGGGTTAGACAAAATGATAACCAGAGAAGATATAGATATCCAACATTATAACTAAAGGCCTCAAAAAAAACCAAAACAATGAAACAAAATATTTTAAAGTAAAATTCAACAAAATTTTTAAGAACTAAAAGACTTAAATCTAAATATTGAAAAACAATGTTTAACAATGAAAGAATCACTGAATCACTGAATTCTAACATTCTGGACAAGTTACAGGACATAATAGACAAGCACCAACATAAACAAGATGCTCAGGAGAAAAAGTATGAGCTAAGGATTTTATATTAGGCCAAACTACCCTTCAAACATAAAAGCTAAAGACAAATTCTTATCAACTTATAAAACATAGAAAATATTCATACACGCCATTCTCAAGCCAAAGAGAACAAACAACTTTTCAAATGGCTGCATCGTCATGTGGAAAAAGACAAAACCTATTCCTCACACCGTACATGAGAATAAACTCCAAAAAAAATCGCAGATATCATGTAAAAAATGGACATACAGAAGTACTAAAAAATCATAGGTAATTAGAACATGTGGAAAAAGGAATAAGAAAAAAAACGTAGGTGAATACCTCTATAACCTAGATGCAGAGAAAAGCATTTTAACTATGACCCAAAATCCAGATGTAATCAAAGAATGACAAATTGAACCAAATAAAAATAATCTTTTCATAGCAAAAAACATATATGCAAATTCAAAAAAGAAATCAAGAGAAAAATTTGTAATATTTGGTTAATACTCCTAATACACACATATATGTTAAAAACTTAAACTTTAAGGGGAAAAACACTACAAAAAATAATTTTTAAAAAGAATAGATAATTCACAAGGTATAAAAATGATTCTTAAATATATGAAAAAATGTTAAGTTTTATTCATAATGATGGAATGTAATTAAAGTTACATTAATATACAATTTCTCAGCCATCAGACAGGCACAAATTAAAAAGTTTAACTATACACTATACACTTTGTTGGCAAAGTTGGGGAAAAAGTATCCTCTCTCATACAGGTTGAGCATTCCTAATCCAAAAATTTGAAATTTGGCCAGGTATGGAATCTCACACCTGTAAGCACTTTGGGAGGCAAAGGCGGGAGGATCACTTGAGGTCGAGAGTTCGAGACCACCCTGGCCAACATAGTAAAACTCTGTCTCTACTAAAAATACAAAAATTAGCTGGGCATGGTGGCAGGTGCTGGTAATTCCAGCTTCTTGGGAGGTTGAGGCAGGAGAATTGCTTGAATCCAGGAGGCAGAGGTTGCAGTGAGCCAAGATCGTGCCACAGCACTCCAGCATGGGCAACAGAGTGAGACTGCGTCCCAAAAAGCAAACCAAAAATCTGAAATTCAAAATACTTCAAAATCTGAAACATTTCGAGCACTGATAGGATGCCAAAAGTGAAAAATTCCACACCTGACCTCATGGGACAGGTTGTAGTCAAAATATAGGCACACAATGCAGTTTATTTATTCAGTGTCCCCAAGGGAAAAGAGACCTTCCTAGCCCCCTTCAGCTGTGATATATCTTTTCTGTAACATATATGACATATATACATGCTAGATATATATGTCACATTTTTTACTAAGTACTTACGTGTGAATAAGTGTAAGAAAACGACTGCTTATATAAATTCAGAATCAGGAATGACAGTGATGTCAAACAACCACAGATTGTTTATATGGATGGCTAAGACAGTAACACTTTCACTTTCTAATGATTCAATGTATACAAAGTTTGTTCCATGCACAAAATCATTTAAAAATTACACAAAATTACCTTCAGGCTATGTGTATAAGGTGTATATAAAACATAAATGAATTTTTGTGTTTAGATTTAGGTCCCATCTCCAAGATATCTCATCAATATGCCAATATTCCAAAATCCAAAATCCAAAATACTTCTGGTTCCAGGCATTTTGGATAAGGAATACTCAACCTGTACAATGCTGGCACAAATGCAAAAATGATACACACCCTATAGAGAAGGTTTGAAAATATCTAACAAAACCACTTATACATTTATGCTTCAAACTAGTAAAGTCACTTCTGGAAAATTACTGTGAAGATACAGATTCGAGCACTGATATGATGCCACAAGTGTATCCAATAATACACATACACACAAATGTGCACGCATGTGCAAGATAAGTCATTGCAGCATTATCTGTAACTGCAAAATACTGGAAATAACCAAAATGCACACACACAGAATGATTGGATAAACTATGGTACAGATCAATGTGTGTGTGCAGACTCACAAAACAGAGTACAATGAAGCTGTAAAAAGAATGAGGAAGATCTCAATGAACTGATATAGAGTGATCTTCAGGTATATTGGTGAATGATAAAAGCAAGATGGTTGACTACCTTTCGTGAAAAAAAGCAGAGGAACCATGGGAAAAAGAAAACACATATGAACCTGCTTACTTTCACAAACAAAAAAAAACCATGAAAGATAGAAAATAAAAAAGAACTGGTGCCTATAGGGAGTGGGCAGGAGAAATGGGGTGGAAAGGATGAAAGGTAGAACACGTCCCTGAATATACTTTTGTTTATGGCTTTGACTTGTGAAAACATGTTACTTTCTACATATTCTCCTTGAAGAGAAATTACATAAACAAGGATTAGAGAAATCTAAAATTGAATGCAAACAAAACCAAAAGCATTTCTAAATCAAGACAATAACTACAACAATAAAAACCTAATCCAAATAACTTTAGAACAGAGTAAATTTACTAAATAGTAGAGAAAAAATAATTACAAACACATCTTGAATGTTTTTCAATAATTTTCTTTTTGTAGATATATATTGTGGAACTGAGTAAATATTAACGTTGTTGAGAGCCAGAGTTCCTCCCGTGGAGGAAAAAAAGATAGAAACAAGGAATAGGTTAAGGTTAAAAAGCCCTTTGTGGGATTGGACTGCCACTGGAGACACCAATACAAACTCACATTTTTAGTTCTGTTAACTGAAAGGTACTGGAAGAAATGCTACTCCAGCAAAAATCAGCACCCCTAACATCCAAATTTTGTTTTTAGGTATCATTCCTTAAAAAAAGGAACCAGGGCTCTTTGGAGAAGTGACTGACTCCAAGGCTGGGTCAGGTATAGAATGAGCTTGAAACATTTTGTTATGTCACAAAGTTTAAAAATGCTATTAAAAAAAAAAACAACAAGGAAAGCATGTTAAGAAAATGCAAGAACCAGCTTGAAGAGCCTCCATTTGACCAAAGATGGAACAATTTAAATCTTAAAACAGGCCATGCAGTGGCTCATGCCTATAATCCCAGCACTTTGGGAGGCTGAGGCGGGAGGATCACATGAGCCCGGGAGGCAGAGGTTGCAGTGAGCCGAGATCCTACCACTGAACTCCGGCCTGGACAATAGAGTGAGACCCTGTCTCAAAAAAAGAAACTCTTAAAATAAACCTGGACTATAAACGACTACAGTTCATTGAGTAAAACAGAAGTCTGTAAAATTAAATTAACAAGGAAACTGAATGCAAATAAAAACATTTCCAAATCAAGTCAATTAATAACTGTAACAGTAAAGAGAGAAAGAAAAACCTAATCCAAGTAACTTTAGAACACAGCA